TTCTTTAAGTGACAGCATCTGACCCCCTCTCCCACAACGGGTCAGCGACTATCGATTCATCGGGATAAGTGAATTCCAATCCCGTTTCTTCGTTACCGTGCTTTGTGCATTTTCTGACTGATTGTTCTTATTGAATCTGCTATTTCTACTTTAACAACAACCCACTTTAATGAAATGTGCTGTTATATGATTTATCATTCATTAAAATATCTGTAATTTTACAAAAGTTCTCGATTAATATATCCATCGGTCCAGTAACCGAGGTCCATTTTTAAGGTTGCGGTAAGCATTCCGTGTGACATAATGTTTTAGCATGTACTTAAGCACATGATGTCTCAGCTGCAGAATTGAGTTGGTACAAACAACGCTTAAATCATACTCGTTTAGAGGTATTGACGGTTGACTTTTATCTGCTTTGTTCTTACTATGACCAAGCGGGAAGTATTTGATCACTATGGTACTAGTAATAGTTAGGGTATTCGGCTAGTGATATTACTGTAAATCTGAACGAAAAGTGCTGAAAATATTTGTTCCAATTTTTCCAAATTTACTTCTGTTTTAATCATCTACACATTTCTTCCGTGCTTTTGCTGGTTTTGAACGAATCATGTTTTAGCAGAACTATTGTCAGTCTTTGCCATCTGCTGCTGGTAGTGCAGACGAAATCACACGCCTGAAGACGGAACTGGAAGCTACGACTACTTTGCTAAAACAGAGAGAAGCCGAAAACAGTTATTATAAACAACAGTGCGACGCTTGGCAGTCTCATGCTCTTTGTCAGGTATGAGTTTTAAAATTTTGAAGTAGCTCTTATTTCACTATACCCAGCTAATGCCAGCTGCTGTGTTTCGTCTTAAGAATGGAAATTTGCAAGCGAATTTAAATTGATTTGAACGTTTCCAAATTTGTTTCGAGACGTTTGGTACTGCCCCTTATATCTGGAAACTTAGGTCAAGACAGATCAGATAATGTGAGCAGGTCAGAGTTCCATGGAAATCGTGATATGAGTGCTGAATGAGTTTAATATATCGTTCTGATTACGCACTGGTGGTAAGATTATAACCGGGTTCATATGCCAGGGGGGTTAGTACTCAAAATCACGTTTGACCGATTCTTTGGCACGGGGACCAGATATTATTCATACAGTTGCGAATGGAAAATGTTAATGTTTGCGGTGTGTAATATTTTACTACTTCAGTCGAATCAAATAAATCGTTTTATTTTTTGCATAGCGGTTAAACGGTTATAAAAAGTATTGAAATTTTTCCGTTGCCATTGTATCATAGTATTTTATGACTCTTGTTAACTCAGTATACGGTTTCTTCACATTTATATCTACGTCCGTTGCAATTCATCCTAATGGCGATGCAATACTTGTGAAAACTTTTAACCTACATAGTTAGTAACTGATTGTAACCAGATAGCCATTCAGACCACTACGACACCTCAGTTATGTCTTGATACCTCTGTACTTGAGAAGGCTCTTATATCCTCATTAATACATTTTTTGTTACTCTTTCATAACACTTTTTGTCTACGTTGTCAATGTCACAATTTTTTAATGCTTCTAATTACAGGGTGCGTCTTCAGACCCTTCTGGTATGTTACAGACGTTGTCAGCAGAAGTTCGAGAGCTGGAGTCGCAGCTGGTTTTCGGTTGGCAAGCGTACGAAAATCTTAACCAACAGCTTTCAGCGACGATGAATGAAAATTGCTCACTGAAAAGTCAGCTGGAACAGCTAAATGCGACGATTCAAAATCTACAGCAAGAAAATTCCAAAACCATGGTAGCAGCAGAACTCGAGAAGCAGACGCGAGAGGTGGAAACTAGCACCGAGGCGCAGGACGAAGAAAAGAAACTGGAGGCTGCGGCTGAAGAGTCAAAAAAGAAGGCGGAGACGGCGATAAGTGATCTTAACAGTCTTCGCAAGGAACAGGAAGACCTGCTCATGTTGCTAGCGGACCAAGATCAGAAACTCCGCGAATACCGCAGTCGACTTAAGACGATCGGAGTCGAGGTGAGCAGTGACGAGGACGATGTTAATGAGGACAGTGAACTTCGATAGAGCTTTACTGGACTGTTATGTCAAGGGCACTTTGTCAGTTGTCACGGATAATCAGATCGTTAAACGTTTTAATAATAAGTTATCTCTTAACTGTGATGTTTCTGGGTGATCTTATAATTTTTTTGTCAGAAATGTGCGCAAACGAATAGGAAACGCGTCAGCGCTCTTATGTATTTTATTTCTGGCTTGTCTGGAAGCTAAATTTATGATTCGTTATTTGTTGACTTACAATTAAATGTTTTTGTTCATGTATCTATGAAAGGAAATCGTTTCTTTGATCTTCGTTATTTAAGATGTTCAAGTTCGACGTAACGGAAGTAACACGACTGGGTCATCGAAACACTTGTGTTTCCAGTGAACAGGTGTATGCGTATGTTTTCTTTAGATTTCTGCTGATCCGTTGTTCTGTTGCTGAAAGAATGCTGTTATATGAAGATGTACTTCATGAAGATTATGTGAAACTGATAACGTCGAATAAGTTACCACGATGAATTTCTGCTTGTTAAGAGCTGTCAGCAGCAACTGTAATTCATAGGTAACAGGGCGAGGGGCATTTTCATAAGCGATGAATCTTTCCCCTCATCAAATGATCGGTTATTGATGTACTGACGTGTATTTTTTGCCCTCATAGCAAATGTGAATAGAACATTGCGATGTATGGTAATATGAATACCACATTCCGTATTAATCTTTAAGGCAAGTACGCGAATATTCTTTTTACAATGCCTTATATCCACCAATTGGAAGAAGGTTGCTTAGGATTTAAACACGTCGAAAATCCAAGTAATGTCTGACAGATAATATTGCAAATTTAAAATACATGTACCTTGAAAAAAGGATCATAGTTTTGCTACCGTTTAGCTGTAAAGTCTTGAAATGTTAGGCTTTCTGTGTGCCCTAGCAGTCGTGAACAGCGTTATCCAAGTTAGAAGAGAGGTAGTTAGGCAGAAGAGCTGTTCAAATACCTGTACCGATTGTATATACCTCTGGTTTAAAATGAGGTAATCAGGTACGAGGTAAAAATTGTTGTTGGTAAAATTAAAAAAATTATGACGAAGTTGTCATTTCTGTCATGACTCGCGTTAGGGAAAACCCGTTGTTACATGCTTAGAGGTATTGTAAACAGCTTCTTTATCGCCTAGCTTAACGGCTGATTATTGTTTCTCTTTTTGCTAATGGTCTTGTTTCGTACATTCAAGCGATAAGATGTATACATGCAAACAAGCAAGGTGTTTCCAAGATTTAATTACTCATCACTGTATTTTGGGCCAGTTGACGAATCGTGTTATTATCTAGGATTAGCAGAATCTGTGCTCATGAAATTTCTGGCTGCTTTGTGAGAATAACAGTCACAGCAGCCTGTCGTGTGAGTAGTGCTATGGTGGCTGTTGGCACTCAAAGCTTAGATTTTTTTCTGCGTCATGCCAGTGAAGCCGGTTTAGCACCTACCCAGCTCGAACAGAACTTCATCGATGTTCTATTTTACCTTTATGAGAAAAAGCAAGAATTTCGAGACAGCCAGAGCTGCAAAAGCAATTTCTTGTACATAATATTCTTACCTGAATTAACCTCTGGTGTATGCATATTTCATGATCTTATGACCATAGACTAATGTTATGTGAGGATTTGCTTTGTTGATATGAACAGTTATTGCGCCAGCTAATAAACCTGACCATAGCTGATTTTGCTTTCTCTTGACTCAAAATTGAACATGCCTATCGTAACGTTGCCTTGTTCCAATCATGGCTTCTCGAATACATCACTTAGAGCTTTCAAGGTATGTCTTGTGCAACTTGCGTTCATGTCAGCAAACTGTCATTATTTCTACTATGTCATGCATAATTAGTTTGCTCAACCTTGCTGTACAGAAAGCGTTTTCCTTCAAACCATAGTGCATGATTCATCTTGGATCAGAGCACTTAAGGAATTTTTTTCTATTATACCGGTGATTCTTAGGAATTCAGTCAGACGATGTTCACGTCAGATTAAAGTATCTTCTTTCCTCGTCGCTGGCGGTCATTTAACCGTGGGAGAAGACGTTCATGATAGAAGCCGAACATGTGAACTAATTTGCTTGCGCCTGATTCAACAGCCATAACGGATCATCATCATACGGTTTGGACGGCGTAAGAAACGCCACTTCAATGTGTTGTATCTCGCCTGGGCGATCTGTTTGAAAAACTTGTTTCCCCAAGGCCTTTCCACCTACATCCTAATTTATACGGCGTTGCAGACGTTGTCGGTTGTTTTGCAGCCGACATTCGTCGTTTTCGTCATCGTCGCTTTTATACCGTCCGGTGCCAGATGACCATCAGCTACAGCCGGAAGGTTTCGTCCACGAAATTAGGCCAATTCTTGTGGCTGCTATTCCGCTGGAAGGGAAGCATCTATCGGTTGCTTTACAAGGAATTACTCATCTACATCATTGCCTACTACTCTTTGGCGTCTCTGTACAGATTTGGACTTAAAGAAAAGCAAAAGAGGTGAGCCATTTCGTAACTTCTGCGAAGATATCTTTCTGTGTAGTAATTTTATCAATTGAATTAATTAACTATAATATGGTAACTCTCGTATCGTCTTGTCTTTATCGAGAAACATCCTGTGAGAAATAAAGCTCGTTTCTACAAGTTTTTAATAAGTCTGTACAATGAGTAATGATGGTTCACGAAAATGTCATCGATTTGAAAAAGTTTTACTCTATCGTTGCCTCATTTTCTCTTTAAAGGGTAGGAAGAAAAAGTACTTCATGGCATTCTCTTCTTGACAGGCGTGAACGGTAAATCCGCGTCCTTTTGCTAAGGGGGGGGG